TTATCGCACAGATCCACATTCTTCTTCACTCAGAAGTAAGTCCTTTGGTGTACTCTCCTTGACTTTACTGAACACGTGGGACACGAAAAAACATTACTTTTTCGACGTGAGACCACTTCTTCCCTGTTTTGTTCCCACAGCTAATGACAAGGCAAAGAACTGTGATAACGAAAATATAAATATTACACAATTGTCTTCTCAAAACCGTAAAATGTGTTCCAAATGTTTCCTGTCACAATACTCAGAGCTGATTATCATGGAACACCAAGATGGCAGATGAAGTCGGTTACCATGACGATAAAGAAATTTGGTCACATGAGTGAAAACGCTCTATACATTACAGTAATCTCATCATCAAAAATATTTGGTGTATAATGAAGTTCTTTTTATGCGCAGGTGAACATATGAAAGTCGCACATGGTATTTTCCAATTGTGGGAGATAGATTTAACACATGGGATCATCTAAGCAGTTGTAATTGTTAGTAATTTTTGAAGTTAATCCACATGAAATGTTTCCTTGCAAATGCTATCTTCACTTACTCTATAAGCATTGAACTAAGATCTTTTTTATTGTATGTTCCCCCTTCTTGTAATTGGGGAAAGCAATGTTTACACGCCCAGTACCATCCTGTAGTTTAGCACATTCCCAATCACTGTTCTCATTGAAATGTAAGATGGAAATCTGCAACCTGAAAATTAATTATGCAGGATCTTGAGATTAAATGTGAGAACATGTTGATGCAATTTGTTTTTAAATGAGGGCAGCTTTGATCGTTCTCTGCATCTGCTTCTGCAGAGTCCCTTTTTCACTTGCCCAAGTCATACATTTCACGTTGTTTTCAACAATTACCTGCTGGTCATTCCATGGTAGGAGAAAGCCCAGCATTTTGTAGCAAAGTGGTTTTGTACTGAATGAAAGGCCTCGATTGATGAGGTGGCATGTGCTCCAGACATCTGCTTGATATCCTTTAACAGTGTGCCCTTTGTAAGTACCTCTGTTAGTTTCTCATAAGGTTGTGAACCTGAACAACATTCACAAATAAATGGTAAATAATAACTGTATCATCATTTAAACATAATTTCTTGTAAATAACATTCAGAATTAAACATGACCATACCTGGTTTGAGCCACTTCTTTTTTCTTTCTCTGCCATGCAGTCTGCCATGAAGACACTGGGGAAACAAATGACTTTCATGCCTCGAATGCTTGTTCATGATGTGATTGGTGATTGAGATCCACTTTGCCTCCTTTAAATCTTCTTCATCATCATCAGTTGATGCAGCGTACCAGAACATGTGGTTGACCACACTCTTCCATTTTTTTTCCACAGCACAGTCTTTCTTTTTGGCGAAACTGTCAATCTTTTCACCAATACCTTAAACAATGACGTCTGATTAACAGGAAGTACCAATGTAGTCTTGTGGTAACAGGTTACTAAAACATAATAAACAATTATTGGCCGGGTGAGGTCGTTGTGATATCCAGGATAATCAAGTTCTTCCTAAGGTTATCAGCCCCAGCCTTTGGACTCCAGCTGATAACCCTGACCTTGACCTTGATTATTCTGGATATCACTAAAACTGCATCCACTAATTATTAATTATTAAATTCTCAACCTCAGATAATACAATTCTAGCTTTCCAATTGGTCTACTAGATCTCGATTACCAGCCATTATACTTGCATTTGACCTCATATAGAAATGGATGCGGCAACTGTTCCATCAATTTCTGGCCATTTCTTTAACCGAAATAAAATTCAGCAAAATCGAAGGTTGACATTTGAATGAAACAATTATTTCATTTGTACGTGTTGGATTTGAGATTTGTTATAGCCAACTCGCCCTATGGGCCTTCTTGGCTATTTACCATCTCATATCCAATGGGTGCTCATGGAATAATTTTTTATTATTACGGTTTCAAAGTTATGGCATTAATTATACCAACTAACCTTTGCCAATATGCCAGCCATCCAATCTGTGCTTAACAGCAGGCCATTTCTCCCTCGTGTGCTTTCTAAACTGGACATGTCTGTCTGTTATCAAGGTGTCAAGAGACAGTCCTTCAGCAGTTAAAAATTGAAGGGATCTTTCCAGGCCTTCTTTTTCTATTGCATTGGAGTTCTTTACTTCATTACTCTGTAGAGTAATATAAATTAAACAGCAGAGTAAAGATAAGTCAGATAATGAAGTAAACTATTAATGCCCAGTCATATATTACTCTAACTTTGAATGTAGGAATATAAATACCAACCTGGACTAGCTGAGAATCTAGAATTTTGTTTTGCTCTAAATCCATGAGAGAATAGCTGCCTTACTTGGTGGAATGCCCTAGGCTGTCACAGCGACCATCCCCTCCCAAGATCAGCTCCTTCCCCTCAGCTCTGATGCTATCCAGTAATGAGGACTGTTGTTGTCGGTATGTTCTCTCCACTGCTGCATGTAAATGTTCTTTTAGATGCTACATGAATGTGGAGTACCCAATGGTCACTACATTCAAGTGGCCCATCATTTTAAGCACCTTTGCTGGACTTCCCCCACCAAACAGAATTCCTGATGACATCATAATGTTGCCAAGAGGGGTGTCCCCAATGGATGGCTGAGAATCCCAACTTCTGGTGAATGAGTAACAGAGACATTTTTGCATCACTGTTATTCTGGTACCAATCCTAGAGTTGACCAGCTTGTCACACTCTGACCGACACACAGGGCAAAACTCAAATAAACTCAACAGCGACGATTCTGCTACCAGAAACAACTTCTGTTCGTGGGCAGGTGTACTGTTGCCAGGAGGTTGTCTGTAAAAATAAGATTTCGTGCAAGTGTTTATTCCGGTGAGATCTGTTTACCAGGTAAATGCAAGGATTGTACTCAT